ATCTCATAAAAAAATATGCAAATTAAAAGAATATATATATATATATATATATTCACAAACAGATCCTCGCTGCTTAAGACCTTTATTATAATTCAGCAAAGTATATAGGGACGTTAGGCTTTCCTCTGACATGATTAACAACCTGTAGCACTTAATCTTGATGATTAAAGCTGCTCTTAAATATTGTCCTCATACAAGAGTCATGTGTATTCTTCTGGGATCTTGGTGAGCTTTATGAATTTCTTCCAGATCTGTGTGGTAATCCAGCGTGAGAGTTGGAGCTTCCTGTAATAAAGATCGGTCACTGCTGTTCTCTCCTTGTGCAGGGTGACTGGTCTTGTCTCCGCCCCTTCCTGTAATAAAGACCGCTTACTGCTGCTCTCCCTCCTTGTGCAGGGTGACGGGTCTTGTCTCCGCACCCTCCTGTAATAAAGACCAGTCACTGCTGCTCTTTCTCCTTGTGCAGGGTGATTGGTCTTGTCTCCACCCCCTCCTGTAGTTCTCTGCAGGCAGTTAGTAGTGCTGGGCCCCTCCCACAGCTCTGTTGTCTGCACAGACTGTGTACAGCACAGTGATGATGTCATTACAAGGTAATACCTGTGCAAAGGCACACATGGTGCACACATAATGGATTTACATACTTTGTGGCTAACAAGAAATATATTTTAATGGACATTTTTATGCTGGGAGTTCAGCTTTAGGCACTACATCGTGGAGTTTTTATGTATCTTGTTAGACCATATACAGGTTTTATGCAGCGATGACGGGTTTTTGCCTCAGTCTGTATGTGAATATAGATTCCTGCTTAGTAGTGCCGCACAGTGACTGCATTGCTGCTTGTTTTACCATCATCCATTTTTTTGGTATTTAGAGGTAAATCTTATAATATGTGCACTGAAAATATGCCGGGGGAATATGATTGAGGAAACTAGTGACACAATACACCAGTCTGCACAACAGGTTTGCTGTTTATTTTTGACCCTTTGTACCTGCAACTCTGGCCTGACGGGTATGGACAGGTCTGGGACAGATTGAAGGAGAAGTATTGGGAGAGTACAATACATTTTTTCCAATACTTCGAGACAGTATGGAAACTGCAGCTGTCACATGCTGACTCTATAGACTGAGAGCTGAGTGATCGTGTGCTCACGGTCTCCTCCCTGAAGAGAGAAATTACTATTAGTTACCACCCCCGCAGGGATTTCCCCTACCCTCTCTGTTTCTACAGCGCTCATTGGAGGGACAGACAGTTCAGGGGTGGGCACAGCTGGCTCTGCCTCTAGTGAGGCAGAGCCAGCTGTCAATCAGGCAACCAGGTGGATCCCGACTCCATAGCCAGGATCCTAATCGTGGTTCTGCACTGTCAGCATGTAGCGTGCAGTAGCTCGCTATCTGCTGACTTTGGGTCACAGGGGGACATTAGTAAATGCAGTTGGAAGATTAAGAGAAGCAATATGTTGATTTTTTTTTTTTAAACTGGAATTTGAATTCTTGGATGTGTATTTATGAATTCTTCCTTCTACAGGAGCAGGAGGAGGCGGCACGGTTGTTGACCATGCCTGCATGGCGGAGAGATATCCTGAGGAAGAAGCTGGAGGAGGAGAAGTAAGAACCGATTTCAATGTGACTATCCTCACTGAGAATTATAAACTCACTTTCTTCCGTATTTAACAATTGTCTTTTTTTCTTTTTCCTTCAACATGGCGTGCAACAGAGAACAGAAACGGTGAGTTCTTTTATATAACAGATGGAAGGTCCTGCATTGCTTAGCGCTGTTCAATCAAAGATGTTTTCAGGCACTGGGGGTTGGAGAAGCGGTCAGAGAATACATTCATAGTCCAAGGAGCAGGGAGGGGACACAGGAAACTGTAGATATGAAATGGCTGGGCAATGTTATCAGATGTACATAAATCACAGGATTTGTAATTCATTTCTGTTTGAACTGAATTAAGGACTTGTTTTTTATGACAGTTTGGATAAATCCCTCTCTTAGTGTGCAGTAAACTAAATGTAATTTAGTAAGGCAGGGGTAGGTAACCTCGGCACTCCAGCCGTGCTGAAATTACAAATCCCGCCATCATGCCTCTGGGAGTCATGCAAGTGGCCGTCTTGCAATGCCGTATGAGACTTGTAGTTCCACAACAGCTGGAGTCCATTTCACACCTAGGCATTGTGTCCCTAAAAGCTAAGTGCAGCAAAACGCTCAGGACAAGGAATCCCATTACTTTCTTTGGCCCCTGTTGACACCTGAGTGATTTGTCGCAAACAGAAAAATGCCTGTCGTTAGAAAAAGTACAAGAGCTGCTTTTTTTGACAGATTACAGTGCTTTTTGGCCTCATAGACTTCAATGGGAAATGCCTGGAAGCGTGTGATTCAAGCATTTTTGCATTCTTGTCATGCAGTGTGTCTATGGGACCAAAAAGCGCTGTGATCTTCCCAAAAACTGTAAAAAATTACTTTTCCAGCAACAGGCATTTTTCTGCTTGTGAACAGGGGCCATAGAAATGAATGTGAATCCGTGTGAACGAGGAGTAAGGGTTTACACATACGTCAAGTGTCTTGTAACGATTTGTAGTATTTGCTTGTAACATTTAATATTTTTATCATCATGCTTTTTTTCATTCCAGAAAAGAGCAAGAAAAGGTAAAGAAAGAAGAGGAGGAGCGAGAGAAAGAGCAGTCGGAAAAGCTAAGGATATTGGGTTACGATGAATCCAAATTAGCACCATGGCAAAGGCAAATTATCCTGAAGAAAGGGGACATAGCGAAACATTAAACTGAACCAATTTCCTGCCCTTCACTTTATCATATCTCAGTAGATTCTCAGCTGTTCAGTACGCGTGGGTCCTGGTAACATTTCACAACGTATCTTGGCCCACTGAGGACACCGTATATCTGTTTTGGGCTAAACCGTTCCATGATTATTCCAGATGTTACTATGCCTTTGAAGAGTGTTTGGCATTTGACCATCTTCCAGCATGGGGGTATCTATCTATAATTTGAGTATTTATAACGGTTTACATGCCTTCCATATGTAGCCTGTTTTTTTTATTTATTAGCTTTTGCCCCATTTGATTCTACATGTCTTCTTTAAGGGCCACTAAACCTAAATGATAAATTAACTATTAGGAGCAATTATTGCTTCATTATTATTAATTAGGTGCAGTGCTGCTTAGATGGATATATACAGTATGTTTCAGGAGCTCATCAGTAACCAATACAGTTAAAGCTTACCTCTGGGATAAGTAAATATTGTCTAAATACAAGATCCATGTGTGGATCTTGAATCTGGGGGTTCATTTATAAAAGTTCCAGCCAGAATTGCCTATACTCAAACGGTATATACCAGGAAAAACTTTTATAAGTGTACCCCTTAAAGTTCTTTATGTATTTCTTACATTGTGATAATCCAGTGTAAGACTTGGAGCTTCCTGTAATAAGGACCGCTTACTGCTACTCTCTCTTCTTGTGCAGAGTGCTGGTCTTGTCTCCGCCCTGTTCTGTAGGGAGCTTGTAGTGGGAGGGACCTGTTGGGTCCCTCCCACAGCTCTGCTCTCTGCACAGGCTATGTACAGCACAGCGATAATGTCACGACTACTTTTAGACTGTAATATCGGAGCTTACAAAAGCATATGGTGCACATAAACTTGCTTTATGTCCTTTTTGGTTACTGAAGAATATATTTCAATTAAAGTTTTTTTGTGCCCGGAGTTTAGCTTTAGGCCTCATTCACACAGCTTGGAGTCGGCCTGTACAGATCCGTGTGGCGTGCATGGCTATATCGGGCTGTTCCCGGGAAGGACAGGTGCTGTGTGTGATTGTACGCAGCAGCCTCGTCTTCCCTATGGGAGGACGCGGCCGTATTCTGTCGTACGCTCACTCGAGCTGCACATGCGTGCAGGTGTCCATGCCTGGACGCAGACAGGATCCAACCTGTCTGCTTCCAAGTACGGACACCCACATGGATGTGCAGCTCGGGTGAGCGTACGACAGCGTCCTCCAATAGAGAAGAACAGGATGCTGCATACAATCACACGCAACACATGTCCTTCCAGGGAGTGGCTCGATACGGCCGTGCACACCACACAGGCCTGTACGGGCCGACTCCAAGCTGTGTGAATGAGACCTTAAGATAACATTCTGGGCCTCCTTTTAGCCCAAAATGGCTGATTGCATAAATCATTAGAGCTCATCCACGCAAGCCCTGTCGGGGCTGCACTGGGAAACATTGGCGACCACTGTCCCAACTCATAGATTAGGCAGTTTGCCTAATGCCCTTTTTGCTTCATTACTTTTTTTTTTAATATAACAAATACTTTTACACCTGAGATGACTATGGTGTCTGCTTGAAAAACACCTTATATATTTGAGCAATTTGCACCCCATTTTTCCAGTCCTTCCAAATGGCAATAACAAGATGGTCTCTTAAAGGCCCCACCCCTTTCTGTAGGCCCTGCCCTCGTTAGCACCTTTAAATTTCTTTAAAAAATTGTGTCTAATGATAAACTAGCATATCTCACTTCCTATCACAGATTGGAAGCTTTTAGATATACAGTATATTTGTAATGCTTATGGACCACTTTTATTGTTGTAACATCTGAAATTTAGGTCTAGTGGCCCTTGAAGTTTCAAAAAAACATTTACCAGCTTTTATGTTTATTTTTGCTTTTATGTTTATTTTTGCTTTTATGTTATCCTTTTCTGCATGTTAAAAGTGATACATGATGTACACCCAATGCACATTCCCCCACTAAGGGCTGCTTTTTTTTTTTTGTAGTAAACTGAAAAGGCAATTACTGTTAGTGGAATCTGAGGACATTTTATGATGTTCCCAATGTAGTCGACTATAGAGGGGCACATTAGCAGACGGAGCGTCTCTAGTGGAAATACTAAACACTTTATTACAAATACAGTCTCAAAACTCATCTGATTCTACTGTGGCAGTCAGTCCACCAAGGTTTTAGCTTTCGGCCAGTTTACCAAGCTCTTGGCTTTCGGTCAGTCCACCAAGTTCCTGACTTTGTCAGTCTTCCAAGCTGTTGCACCTGCAGTCATTTCACTTAGTTCTTTTCTTTTGGTAAGGGACCATCTGCAAGATCTGCAGCACCAAACCTAGCAGTGTTTTCCTGCTTTGTGTCACAGAGATGCTCTCAGAGGTAGGTGGAAAGCCAAAAATCAGTTGGGTCCACTGCTGCTTGTGCTTATTGTGGAAACTTTAAAAATGTTATCTTTGTTTTATCTTGTGAGTACAGCCACTAGCATAGAACAAACTTCCTGTATATGTTGGTTTCCTTGCCTTCACCACAGGCTTCTTATCGCTGTTGTGCACAATGGAAAAGGTGACTGATAAGGTGTTTGGTGCTGCTGAAATTGAACAGATAGCTGCTGGGTACCTTATGTAAGCATGGGAGCTGGGTGGAATGGCTGTGGAGTTGTTTATGTCTTGTTGTCCTATATATTGGCTAACTACTATACTTCGGTCTCTAAAAACATTACTCTTGGCTGCAATAGTCCCAGATTTGCCTTTTTACCTGTTAAATTTGCTCTTCAGATTGGAATGCAGCTAAGTTTCTTGTCTTGGCTACACAGGTCTGTGATGACCATCAGACATGCAGGCACAATCTAGCTGTCACCTTAGCATTAATGTCTCGGTTTAGGATTATCTAGGAGCAAACAAAGGTAATCAAATAACTTTTTTTTTCCCAGGGATGGCTGTTCATATTAGCCACGCATTAAATGATAGGCTGTGTGTTTAGGAAGACTGCCCGTCCATTTCCATAGCTCAGGACTATGAAAGCTTATGGTGATAAGATTCTGAAATCAGCCTTAAAGTTATCTTGTGCTTTACTGATGCCAGGCAAACCAACAGGTTAACATCTGCACGTGCAGTGGCCGCTCTGGTGCAGGGTACAGAAATTACTGCAGCTGTCCACCTTAGGGATTACCTTTTTGTCCAAAGATGACAAAAAAACAGAATAGGGGAAAGGCTTTGTAGCTTGGTTTTACCAGTAGAATTCAGTAATATTATTTTTTTCTTGTGACCAAAATTCATTCTTCCATCTGCAGACTAAAGTTAAACACAAATTTTACTTTTAAATTTGTCCCCTTCAGGTATGTTTCTGGGGCAAAGCCTTTTTAATGCAAAAAAACCCCAAACACATAAAAGTTTACATACGAAGAAAACAAAATGGGGAAGGAGCCAGTGTTTAGGCGATTTTAATGCATTTTTTTTTAATTTTTTAGGCTTGAACTTGTTTTACCCAATGGCAATAAGAAGGAGACCATTGTTAGGCAGAAGATCACAGGGTTTTTTTTTTTTGTAGATATTCCATGTCTGAGGCCAGAAATGTGCAATTCCGCTTCGAAAAAAAAGCTCACGTACTTTTTCAAATTGCAAGCGACACAAGATTCAGGTGGGAATGGGCACCATTGAAAATTATGGGATTCCTCTGGTTCAGGGCTAGTTATCACCAAGCACGGTCCAGGAGCAGAGCAGTTACAGACCGGATCAAAACTGCGTCCAGTGGCATTTTGGGCTCTAGTTCACACCGGAGCGTTCAGTTCCAGAGCATGTAAAAAAAAAAAAACTGCAACAAGCCCTATTTTTCTTGCTCTGGAACGCATTGAAAGTCCATTCTAGGCTTTAAAAAAAAATAAAAAATAAAAAATAAAAACCGGCCTGGACCGCATCAAAAACGTGGCGCACTGCGTGTGCTGAAACACATGCTGATCTGGTCTTCATTTGGTGTGAACAATCCCTCAGGGCTCTATCTTTAGGAATCAAAATGGAGATGATTGAGTTATTAAAACTAAGTTAATATAAAGGGGCTAAAGTTTTGTTTAAAAATAAAAAAAAATTGCAGGAGTGGCCTTTGCCCCAAGGTGTACCACTCTTGCCTCTGCCCAACGTTATCTGCACTCCCAGCAGCACTGAAGAGAAGTGCAAGTGAGTGTATGAAGCGGGAGGCAGCAGTTAAGTGAACCTGTTGATTTGCCTTGCATGGGCATCAGAAAGTTTAGTTTGCAAATCTGAACCTATGCCGTTCCTCACCACCTCCAGCAAAAGTGCTGGTGGGGCAAATTTTCCCTCACTATATGCTCTGGTGACCATTATAACTGTAACAGTAAGCAATGATATATCCAGAACGGCGAGGGTAAATCTTCCAATGGTGACACTTGTTTTGGTGGCAGCTGTCTAAGAGGGGGAAGTTGTGTGTTCAGGACAGGGAGTGAAGGTAAATCTCCCCACAGGGACATAGAGTGGGGAGGGAATAACACCCTGTCACTTTGGTTTTTGGCATCGATCAGAAAAAAATATTGCTGGTCCATTATGTTGCATTGGCTGCCCGTTCAAATGAACACATCACTCATTACCACAATGTGGGCAATTAAACCATATTTTGTTTAACACTTGCAATGGTCTAACCTTTTGCTTCCCTGGAAAAAAAAATCTAAATTTCAGCCCCCTTTACTAAAGTGTTTATTTAATGTCTTTGAGATGAAAGAAACATCACCTACGCAGGGATTTTTTTAAATACTGTACATAAAGATAGCATACGTTAATGTTCAATGAATGTTAGGTATTAGTATCAGATGTGCTGGGTGTATGATATTTTTTTTTTTTTGTGTTAAATATGTATTTTAAACTTGAGACATGTGGGAAAAAATTATACATATCTATACAATATATTCCGTTTATAAATTCAGAATAAATATATAAATATATTACTTTATAAATTGAATATATTATAAAAAAATACACAGATGCCATACTTGTCATTGCCATGTTAGCAGATATTTTCTATACATTGTCATGTATTCCTGCATCCTTCTAGCACAGTTTGGCATATACATACAGATATATATATATATAACAGATCTATATTGTTTAAAAAGCTACAGAAATAAATCTATATAGTATGTTTTCAAATGTATGATGTCACATTTGTGCCTTAAAGTGCATCATTATTTATTATTACACTTAAAAAAATGGATTTCTCTGTGCTGGGTTAGGTATGGGAGTGGGGGCTGTAAGCAAAAAGCT